GGGGCTGCAGCGGCCTCCTCGGCCACATGGTGGGATGGGGGGGGTGCTGTGTGCGGTGGGAGCAGGGCGGAGGAGGGATTGGTGGGATCAGTGTACTCGGTCAGGGCCGCCAGCGGTGCTGGGGTCTTGGCGGGGGGACGGCGGCACTGTGGGTGTCTGGTCCAGTTCGTTGTGGGGCGGGCCCCAGCCCCGGGCGGCGTGGCGAGGTGGGAGCAGGGTTGGGCTCGGTGAAGGCAGGCAGAGGTTGCGGCGGCTGGTTCCCGCGTCAGCTGAGGAAAAGAAGGTCTCTGTGTGCGGTAGGAGCAGGGCTGGTCGATGTCGGGGCCTCACCTGGAGCGGTGGTGCGGGGTTGACCTGGGGCCAGGAGCCGCGCGGGGGATTGCTGCAGAGCTGTTTCGAGCAACTTTAACCCTTTTTTCACCATGCTGACGTGGTCTGAGTCCCTTGCTGGAAATGGAACTAGCTTTCAGGTTAACAAAACAGTCTTATTAAATGACTTGCCGATGGAATTAAATATGTTCTTTAAGCATTCTTTTTCTCTCTTAAAGAGGTATGCACGTTTCTTGCAGTTACAGGTTTACAGGGGAAAGGTTTAGGGAATTTGCCGAAGTTTGCTCCTACCTGCCTCAGGAAGGTTGATGAAGTGTTCAAAACAGCTGCAGTCTGCTAACACTCCGAACCGCTTAAACTTCGGGTCATCGGGGAATGCAGAATAGCCCCCTTCTGCACCTGCGAATCAACCTATCTTCATAGAAGAGTTCAGTAAAATTCATTTCCTCACACGGGGCACCAGTTCTGGATCTCTTTCCCCCCATGGTGTGAGGTTGCCCAGTTCTAGTTCCATCTCCATCTGAGGAACCATTTCCGACGACTTGAGTGGATGGGGGGGGAGACTCCAGCGCCAGGGGTTTCTTCAGGTCCTGAACCTGGAGGGGAGAGGTGCTCTCCCCTCTCTCCACTCACGTGGCCCCATGGCAGGCACAGAGACAGCACACCAGCGTGGAGAGGAGGCAAGAGAGCGTTTATTGTTGGGGGGGTTACATTTATAGGTTTAGGAGGATTCACAGAGTAACCAATTACAGGTTGCAGGAAGGGGTTAACAACCAATAGGAAGGGGTTAAAAGGGGCCAATGAGAACACCTTAGGACATCTTCCCAGGACATTCCTGCGTGTCGTGGGGGGTCTTGGGAAGAAGAAAGCATGAGTTAGCAAAGAGACTACAAAAAACCATTTTGAAACATGTTTAAACCACAGTTTTCTCATATACTGCAGATTTCCTACCACAATTGTCTTGGTCCTCTGCAGTAGCCCCAGTTAATGGGTGGGTTGTGCCCCCTTCTGTGGTTTAATGTGCTTTTGGTGAGGGAGGAGGGATTATGGAGACTGTATTTCTCTTCTGGTTAGTGGACTAAATCTCTGCCTGATTTTAACTCTACAGTAACCAGTGAGGTTAAATCAGGGCTGAACTTAGCCCCTTCTGTTTTTGCACCATGTCAGAGTGATATTTCAGCTTTGTTTTGAGGAGGGTGTAAATGAAAGAGTAATTATTGTGGTTTAACCCCAGCTGGAAAATAACCACCACACAACCATTCACACCCTCCCCCCTTGGTGGGATGGAAGAGAGAATCAGAGGAATAAAACTGAGAAAACTCGTGGGTTGAGATCAAGACAGTTTAATAATTGAGTTGCGATCAGTCCATGGCAGATGGTAGGACTGTGTTTCCACTGCTGAGACAGTTGATTACAGGTATACTGGACACTCCCCCCAAGTGAAAGCAAACTGTGACCTGCACTATGCCACCAAAAGACTTAAGAAAAATGCATTAGAGATATCCATCGTGGCACCACTTGGTTGCCTTTGACTCCAACTCATATTGAAGTTCCAACACATCTGGTATGGCAGCACGACTTCATTCAGGTCACGATAGTCCACTGTCAGTCTCCATTCTCCGTTAGACTTTCACACTGGCCATATGGGGCTGTTAAAGGGTGAGCGAGTCCTGCTGATCACTCCTTGGCTCTTGTGTTGACAAATCAGCTTATGGATGAGAATCAGGGAGTGCCACCGGTGCACCGTTGTGGTAGCAATTGACACCTGTTCTTCTTCGACCCTCAGTAACCCCACAAATAGAAGGATCCTCCAAGAGATCAGGCAAGGTAGACAGTTGTTTAATTTTTTCCATCTCCAAGGCAGCTATATAGAAAGCCCACTGGTACCCTTTGATGTCCTTGAAATACCCTCTCCTGAGATAGTCTATGCCAGGAATGCATAGAGCCTCTGGTCCAGTCACAATGGGGTGCTTTTACCACTCATTTCCAGTCAGATTTACTTCAACCTCCAATACAGTCAGCTCTTGGGATCCCCTGTCACTCCAGAAATGCAAATGGGTTCTGCCTCTGTATAGCTTGATGGCATTAGGGTACACTGTGCACCAGTATCTACTAGAGCCTTGTACTCCTATGGGTCTGATGTGCCAGGCCATCAGATTTACCCCATGCAGTAAATCCAGTTGTCCCTCTCCTACACCTGGCTTGAGGTAGGACCCCTCTAGTCCTGGTCATAGGATTCTCCATTTACTTCTTGTAGAAATGGATTAGAATTCCTTTCCATAGGATCAGAAGTATGATTAGTCCTTCCACTCTGCCTGGGGAACTGTCCAATGGAGACTTGAGCAGTAACTTTCCTGGAAGAACCCTCATTTGTGGTTGTTTTTCCTTGCAATTCACATACTCGTTGCATCTAGGATTGAGGTAGGTTTTCCATCCCACTTCCTCATGTCCTTTCCATGGTCCTACAGGTAAAAACCACAGGGTACCCCAAGGGGCGTACCCAGTATATCCTCCCTCTTATGCAAAAGGACACTTACTGTTAATAGGTGAGATGCGGGTCTGTACAGGTGGGGAGTAGAACATATTCTCTTTGAATTTCTGGAACTCCTGAGACAGTTTCTTCACAACTGAGACAACGGAGGAAGAGTGATTTTCTTTGTATTCCTGAAGTTGGTGAGCCACTTCATTCATTGTTGGTGCCTCTTCATCTCTCCAGGTCATTACTGCCAGTGGGTTGGCACACGACAATGGTGTGTTCTGTACAAATTTCTGTCACATGGGTTGCGTGCATTGGACTTTGTCTGCATCTGTGGATGACTCCGCATTGTTTGGGTCAAAATAAATCATCTCTAGCATCACTAATTCCCCCAGATCCTGGATACCTTTCTCTACTACAGTCCATTTACCTGGGCAACATATATCTTCCTTGAAGGGATACCTTTCCTTCACACTTGACAGGAGTCACCTCCAGAGGCTTAGGACTTGTGTCCCTTTTCCAATCACCTTCCATAGAAAGTGATCCCAGCTGCCTGGTTTCCTTACCCTCTAATTCCAAACTGCTAGCCCCGTTGTCCCCACGTTGAAGCAACCAGGTGATAACGTGCTCAGTTGGACAACATCTGAAATCTTTTTTCATATTCTGCAGTTCAATCAGGAATAGGGATTGAGCGGTTACCTCTTGTTCTGCCTCTTCCTCCTGTTCTTGTGATGGTTCTACTTTGTCCTCCTTTACTAAATGAGATGTCTTTCTTGTCCATTTCTTCTTGTGTACAGGGGCAAGTGATATCAACACAAGTTGGTTCTCTGGTTCAGCTGCATCATCCATCACTAGGGTCTGAGTAGCTGTAGTGCTTGTCGCAGGGTTCCGAGTAGCTGCAATGCCTGTCACGGGAATTGGCATAGCCACAGATAGTTGCTTAACCCTAAACAAGATCTGAAGCACATTCAGCATTCCTAGCAATAGGACCAGGACCAGAAATAGGCTAGTTTCCACAACCCAGAAATATTAAAAATTTCCAAAATTCTCAGATGGTTCTGTAATTAGCCTGGAGGAGAAGGGGAAGATGGAAGAAAATGTCTCCCCCACAGGTCAGTTCTCCGAGGAGAAAAGGTAAAAGGGTAATTATTAACAGTTCACAATAGATGACTCCTGAAGTACAGAGGTGATGGCAATGCTGAGTGAACATACCAGCAATTCTACCATATCACAAGCCAGTATTACAAAGTACAACAAAACAAGAAACTTAGCCCAGGCCCCAGAGATGACAAATACCAAAACAACAAACGCATGCTCCAAGTAAGTAGGTACATAATATAACTCTGAGAACAAACACAACAACTCTTTGAGAAAATAAATCAACATTGTGACCAATGACTATTAAGCCAATACAATGAATGCTTATAACAAATTTGTTTTAACATGCTCTGGTCAAATCCGTCATTATCTCAACCCTTCATGCCCAACATTAGGCACCAAAAAGGACTGTCAACTCCAGTTGGCAACTAAGTACCTCACTCCTTTCCACCTCCCCGGGGAGGAGAATTGGAAAAAAGTTAAAACTCATGGGCTGAGATAAGAAGAACAGATTGATAATTGAAACGAGGTAAAATCTAATAATAATAGTAATGAATGCAATGAAAAGGAGAAAGGGAGAGGAATAAAACCCAAGGAAAACAAGTGATGCACAATAAAGTTGTTCACCATCCACTGACTGATGCCCAGCCTGTCCCCGAGCAGCAAACCCACCTTCTGGGTAACTCCCCTCAGTTTATATACTGAGAATGACATTCTGTGGTATAGAATATCCCTTTGGTCAGTTTGGGTCAGCTGTCCCAGTTATGGTCCCTCCCAGTTTCTTGTGCACCTCCCACTGGCAGAGCATGAGACACTGAAAAGTCCTTGATTTAGAGTAAACACTGCTGAGCAACATTAAAAACATCAGTGTGTTATCAACATTATTCTTATACTGAATCCAAAGTACATCACTGTACCAGCTACTAGGAAGAAGACAGTTAATTTTCCAGCTTAAACCAGAACACTACTTCAGCTATAGTCATATTTTATATTAAAAAAAAATAATTATTATTGTTTCTTCTTACTGAAATTTGTTTCAAAGATTGATTTCTTATTTGTCTGTTCTATCTTCCTCACACCTTCCTGAACTCTTTAGGACTTCAGCATGCATTTGAAAGTGACTGGGAAGCTGGGAAAATCACTTATAACAATTATAAAAATGGATCTGACGATGCTGTTCAGACTTACAAACTCTTGGTGCAAACAGGCAACCGAGCAAAGCCCATTGACATCAACCAGGTACTGTATCAGAGTCCATGGTGGTTTATACAGGAACACACAATCCTGTCAGGAGTTGGGGGAGATGCAAGGAAAATGGCATAGTTCCTTTTTTCATCTTGATGAACTGAAATTTCTGAGTTGTATCTAATTGTGTAGCCTCACTGACTTTGCTTGAGCTACATGTTAGCTGCAGAGTCTGGTCTGTGTTAAGAAGTTGTCCTAGTTAGAACAGCTGGGACCGATTCATCATTGGATGGGTGTAGCCCAAAACTGTGTATTCTATAGCCCTCCATGCCATTTCCCAGAAACTGTTGTCAGTAGAGGCCTGCGAGGTGCCCCCCCCCCCCCCCATGCTCCTGTCCTCATGCCCTTTTGTGGAATTCCCTGACTGAGCACCCTCACACCCTTTTATGGAATTCCCCACTCTGAGGGAAGGACTGAACATCCTTTTATGGAATTCCCCACTCTGGGGGAGGGGCTAAGCATTGCTGCCTGAGTTGGAGAATATATAAACCTGGAGTTTCAGAACCTTGCCACTCTCTCCACTCGTGGGATCCAGAGGAAGACTGCAGCTCACCGCTCTCGGCCAGCCTGCGGCTCATCGCTCTTGGCCAGACTGCAGCTCACCACCACCCTCGGCTGGACTACAATCACCACTTTGAGCTGGACTGCAGCAGTTCTCCCACCAGCAGGTTTTTTCCCTCTCTCCCTTTGCTTTGGACTCGGGGGGGGGGGCCAGGGAGCACTGTTTTGTTTGTGCCCTGGGGTGCCAGGTTGTACATTTGGTTTTTGTGGGTTGAGACCAATTGCTTGTCGGTGTAGTTGTGCTTATTGTATTATTTTATTAAATTGTTATTCTGACTTGCAATCTCTCTTTTGAGTTGAGTTCATTTCCCCTGCTGGTTAACTTTTAAACCAGTACATTTTTGGCGCCCAACGTGGGGCAGAGAGAGAGAAGTCAGAATAACAATTTCTCCCTGATCACCATGATGTTTCATACATTCACATGGATGTTGTATCTGAGCATGTTCATATTTCCACAGATGAGGTACTATTTGCCTGTTTTGATGCTCTCTTTAAAACCAGGGAGAGGGATCCAAATTGCTTTATTAGTATACTATATTTATGTCATCATAACATCAGAAGCAATGAGTTTCATTGTAAATGTGTATTCAGTCCTGTTTGCCTGTCCTGGTTTGGGTTGTTACCTCTGGAGTCTCATTAAAAATCGCACCCAGCCCTTTGGGGAAACAGGGGGGAATGGTTGTTTCCAGCCTCTCACCTCCTTCTTCCCCTTCAGACCTGTTACAACAGTTTTTGAAAATATTGAGTTCCCTTTTGATGTTAAGGATAGCATAATGTTATTGTTAGTGTTGCTATGTCTACTCTGTACTGTCTACACCATGTTTAGGGTCAGAACAGGGGTTTCTAGGGAGGTTGTCGGGATGCCTGCCCTGGGAGTGGATAATGCTGAGTGGCACGGGAAGTGGGAGGACATCGGCCAGTATTTGGAGAAGTTTTCTCCTCCAATGATCTGGAAATTCACCCCTGAACAACTGCAGGATCCGGTTAGCATGATAAGACTGGTGAAGGGAAAATGCTCTGGCAACTCCAGAGATGGTCAGCTCACAGCAACCTGCTGGGCCCTGGCCACTGCCTACCGGACACTACTTGACATGGTACAGCACTGTCAGGGGGAGGAGAGAAGGAGCAAATCCACAGGCACCACGTCCACCCAAACCACAGCTGAGTCAGAGGAAGAAAGAAATAAACCAACCGGCACCGTGTCCACACAAACCATCGAGGAGCCAGAAGAACAACTGAAACCAATAGCAGTCACCCCTGTCCAGAAAAGGAAATCAAAGACTAAATCAGTCCGTATAGCAAATGATGATGAAGAGGCAGGACCTTCACATCCACCGGAGGAGACAGAGCCAGAAATAATCACTCGGTCCCTATCCCTGGGTGAGCTACGTGAACTCCGGAGGGAGTTCACACGACAGGCAAATGAGTCCATTCTGACCTGACTGCTCCGAATCTGGGATGCCGCAGTTAACGATACAATTCTAGATGGGAGTGAAGCCAGACAGCTGGGATCCCTGTCTCGAGATGTAGTCATTGATCAGGGGATTGGAAGGAGGCAGGAAACTCTCAGCCTCTGGCGGCGACTGTTGTCCAGTGTGAGGGAGAGATACCTTTGTAAGGAGGACCTCCACGTACAGCAAGGACAGTGGAACACCATGGAACAAGGTATGCGGTGCTTAAGAGAATTAGTTGTACTGGAGATAATCTTTTCAGAGGATGAAAGATTCCCTAAAAGTCCAGATGGTGTACAGTGCACATCCCAGATGTGGTTGAAGTTTGCACGACTCGGGCCAGAAATGTATTCCCGCTACCTAGATACGCTGCAATGGAGGGAGGGAGAGGACAAGGTGGGTGCATTGGTCAGTAAACTCAGGATTTATGAAGACACTGTCACCGCCCCATTACGAGCCCATGTCTCATCTGTGGAAACCAAACTAGCTGAACATGTCCGAAGCCTGGAAGAGAAGATTGAAGAGGGACACCAGAAACTAAGAGAAGAAATTAAGGAAGGGATCTTCCATATTGCACCAGGACAAACAAGAGTCTCTGCTATTAGGAGCCAGCGTCCCCCAGCTAAGGAGAGAGAGCACACTCCACGTGGCAATCTATGGTTTTACCTCTGTGAGCATGGAGAAGATATGAGGAAGTGGGATGGGAAACCCACCTCTTCCTTAGCAGCCCGGGTACGTGAACTGAAAAGAGGGACAAGTGCCACAAGGAACTCTTCAAGGGTAAATGCTGCTCCAGTCTCTAGTGGGCAAGACTCCAGACTGTACAGGAATGATGATACGTCTGATCCTCTTGAAGGGATCTCCAGGTCATACTTACAAGAAGAGCACAATGAGTACCATGACCAGGACTAGGGGTGCCCTGCCTCTAGCCAGGTAGAGGAGAGGGACAATCGAGTCTATTGGACAGTGTGGATTCGGTGGCCTGGCACATCAGAGCCACAAAGATATAAGGCCTTAGTGGACACCGGCGCACAATGTACTTTAATGCCGTCAAGATACGTAGGGACAGAATCCATCTCCATTTCTGGAGTAGCAGGGGGATCCCTACAGTTGACTGTATTGGAAGCTGAAGTGAGCCTGACTGGGAAGGAATGGCACAGACACCCCATCGTGACTGGTCCAGAGACCCCGTGCATCCTTGGCATAGATTACCTGAGGAGTGGGTATTTCAAAGACCCAAAAGGACTTCGTTGGGTTTTTGGCATAGCTACTGTGGAGACAGAGGAAATTAGACAG